AATCGCAGAATAACTCACCTAAGCGATTCACTGAGGATGACCGGCAAACACGTCACTGCAATCGAATCCGATCCGGCTGCTGGAATCGTTTTCTGCACAGACGCGTCGGATCCTGTGCTTACGTACATTGCCTCAATTCGCCACGTCTCCTGGTATATTCAACGGCATTGGAGGTTTGATTGTGAAGAGCTGCTCATTTTGGGTAATTTAAAGGTTTTCTTGTTTAGGAACGATGTATCCGCTACTACCTGCCCCACCTTCCATGTACAGTTCACTTTCAGGTATGATTTCACCCATATGACTTTAATTTTCAAGTGCTGTAGATTGATTAAGTCATCTACACATCATTTTTAGAACTTTTGCAAAGGGCTTATTTGGGAATCATACATCTCGTTAACAAATTTTTGTGTCCATAGACATCAAATATTAATTTTTAGAACGTAAGAAGATTTCATTTGATGTCTTGAAATTTTTTTAAGTCACGGGCGATTCTAGGGTAAGGAGCAGCATTCTCCTCAGACGCTTTTAAATCAGTTAAAATGCTTAGCCTGGCTTCTTCATTACGTTATTATCGGAAAAGTAATCTTTTCTTGTTGTAGAAGAAAAGCCATTTTGAAGGTTATGTTGTGTCTATCAAAAACAACGTCGAACTTTGTGAAAGTTTGCAGAAGACGGAAGAGAAACTAATAAAGGATTAGGAAGGCATACAACAATTGATCGTAAAAAAAATTTTCCTGAGACCGCACCCGCATCATTCAAAGACAATGTTTTGTGTATTATATTGTGGGAAGCTATTGATTCGAAACGGCTATAACAGAAGGAAAGGAGGCGGCAGCGCTATAAGACACGTAGAATTCAGGGTAGATGCTCGAGGCGATTTTAGTCGTTTATTTTTTTTCTAAATGCTCTTCAACGGCTCAGGCGTTGGAATTGCGCCGCGCAAGTGGACGCAAGCATTCCCTTGGTCTGCGTCAGGACAACTCGATCACTTTCGCGCTCCTGCGCTAAATTGCATAGAAGTAGGAGGAAAAGAGTGATGATAGATTCTCACCATAGCAGAAATTTCAATTTTGCAGTCTTTAAGTTTCTTTTCTAGAATCGACGGTATTGTCCAGCGCAGATGTGAAACCAGAGACGGTTTATACGTTTTTTGAAGCTTCTGATGATTTTCTGCAGTTTCTTTCAAGTAGGTTTTGTACAGTCATACCGAATTTGTCTACACTTTCGATAAAGATTTGCCAAGTTTCACAATAGATTCAGGATTTTGCTTGTCTTCTATTAAGTGCCTACTCAGACAATTCAGCGGACCGCAGGGCAG